TTCGGCTTTGAAACGGAGATGAGCACCGCAACCCTAGAGTCAGGTTCGACTGGCTTTCGAGCAAGGGAACCTTTACCTTTTTATGTTTTTCACACTCTATCTGCATATTTTGAGCAAGGCAGTTGAATCTAGGCATACAGATTCCCCACCTCCCCATATTTTCTTCCCTTTATTTTAAAGTGAGCTAGTGTGATGTAGTGGTTTGGGCATCAGCGGAAACCCCGGTTTTAATCCCTCTTCTGCTGTAAAGCTGTCCAGGTGACCCTGGTGGCCCATGACTCTCTCTCTCTGTCAGGCTCAGCTACCTCACAGGGCTATAGTGGGGATGAAATGGAGGGGGGAAGAAGGCCGTACACCCTCTTGAGCTCCCTGGAAGAAGGAGCATAACTGGAGAGATAGATTATTATAATACTGAAGTACTGAAAGATATTCAACCAAACAGGCAGGACAGCAACATAACTGGAGAGATAAATTATTATTATAAAACTGAAGTACTGAAAGATATTCAACCAAACAGCATGGTTTAGTGATCAAGAGCAGCGAACTCTAATCTGGAGAACCAGGTTTGATTCCCCACTCCTCCTCCACATGAAGCCTGCTGGGTGACCTTGGGCCAGTCACAGTTCTCTCAGAACTCTCAGCCCCAACTACCTCACAAAGTGCCTATTGTGGGAAGAGGAAGGGTAGGTGATCGTAAGCCACTCTGAGACTCCTTAAGGTAGAGAATGCAGTGTATAAAAGCCTACTTTCCGTCTTTAAAACAGTAGTCTCTAACTCTGATTTGCAGCTTAAATTGGTCTGAGATGTGTGACAACTTTCTCGTGGCGTAGTTCCGATAAGCGCAAGGCTCTTTCAACATGTATTGTAATGCTTGCAGGCAGTGATCATTTGTGTAGTGAAATTAACACCTCAGCACCCCTGTGTGCACGCTCACACACACCAAATGCCAAGGGTGTCCTCAGGAAGGCAGGCAACGGCAGTTGAGAGAGTGAGTGGATTTTAGGGATTTATTGATTGATTAATGTGTTTTTGAGTTTAACTTCAAGTGCCACACTGCCCACAGCTGACTAAGATGAAGTTGCCAGTTTCTGTGAACCACAAGTAATTCCACATGCAGTATTTGGCCGGAGCCAGAGACTGCCTGCAGATCTCAGGTTAGGAGAGATTTACATAGATGTTCAGCAGAAATAAAAAGGTATTTTCCACCCACTAGGCTACTTGTTAGCTAATTGTTCAAAGCCAGTTGGAGCCTCTGCTGCGTATGGTTATTTCTGTCAGAACCCGTTTGGTGCGCTGAAGCCCCGGCGGCTTTTGTCTGCCCCCATGTAGACATCCTGGCTGCCCAAATCCCTTGCAAACAGTTCCCCCAGAAGGTGGTAGCCGTGTTAAGCTGTGCTTCTATCAGCAAGCTGGGAGCTCTGGGCCTCTGACACAGCCCTCGGATTGCTAGCATGTTTCTCTCATTGCACCTCATTTGCATCTGGGGCATCAATTAGCATGTTTGTTGAGGCTAATTGAATGAAACTCAATCATAGCTCTTAATTGCTTGACTATGTGAAAAGAAATCACATTAATGCAGCTAATTAAGTGTATGGCAATAGATGCAACATAATTAGGAGTGAAATGTAAAAAACAAGCGGTAGCAAAAGGTGCGAGAGCCGAGGGGTGCAGGAGATTCGGGAGGCTCAGCCATCTTGTTGTTGACACGTTTGGGGAAGGGGCCCCCCAGCTTGCACGAGGTTTTTGTTCCCCGACACCGCTGAATTACGAACACAGAAAGCTCAAGATGGAAAATGTAAATGGGTTTGCAATTACTACTTTTTCAAGCTGTTGAGGGGCCGAAGATCGCACTTCTGGGGTGGGCCACTGTTGAGTGGGCTCCGGGGACTTGTTAAGTGCTGTTTAAAAGTACTTGGCTTTGAATTACCCTCAAAGCTTGTTAAAGGTCCCCCCCCCTCTTTTTTTTTCTGAGATCAGCATTTTCTACAACTAACATCTAGGGAAGTTTTTTTCTTCTTCTTCCCCGTAGCATTTGCATATCAAAATCAGTCTCTCTGTCTTCTTGTTAACAAAGCATATTACAGATGATCACGTTATCTTCATCCTTTTCTGGTGTGATCATACCATCAATCACTGTTCTTCTGAACCTGCAACATCTACAATGCCAGCTTTTATTTCTCCAGGATAGCAAGATCTGATAAGGGAATGTGTGCTGAGGTCCTGCTAGAGGGGAATTCATTTATTTATGTGCTCGATTTATATATCACACTTCTCATTTTTTAAAAAGTCCCCAAAGCAGTTTACAGCCCTGTTAGAATACGGTTTAAAAACACACACACCAAAAGAAGGAGCATAAATGATTGGCAGAAGATAAAAGCAAACCAAATCCAGCAACCGAACAGGGACAAAGTAAGGAAGGGCAGTAAGAATAAATAGTTTGATCAACATAAAATAACAACAAACAGAGCTCCCGGAAGATACTAGGGCCCTGTGGGACCTCTTACCGTTCCGCAGGGCCTGTAAGACAGAGCTCTTCCACCAGGCCTTTAGTTAAGGAGCCGCATCCAACAACTACGACCCTGTGCCCAACGCCACCATCAATAGCCTGTGCTTCGCCAAACTGTAATAACAACTGCTGACTGTATTTTTAGTATGTCTGCTGCTATTACTACCTTGCCATCGCCGTATAGGCTGATAACTAGCACTTTAAGTCTTGTTTTTATGGTTATATTTATAATTCTTGTTTTATTTGTCGAATTTTATGTAAGCCGCCCTGTGCCTGCCCTAGCGGGGAGAGCGGGGTATAAATAAATAAATAAATAGAGATAATCAGATAACAATAAAAACAGCAGAGAAAGCAACAATTGGGTGGGCCTCCTATTAAATACTGGTAAAAGTGCCCTACGTATGTAAGTGCCGTCAAGTCGCAACCAACTTATGGTGACCTCAGCAACGGGCTCTCAAGGGAAGGGAGAAGCCAAGGTGGCTTGCTAGTACCTGACTCTGCAGTCTTCTTTGGTGGTTCCCCAGCCAAGTACTGACCCTGCATAGCTTCCAAGATCGGGTGAGGTTGGGCTGCACCACGCTTTCTTCCCTCCCCAAAGTGCCTTAAACCTCAATAAAATCCCCCATCAGATTCCCGGGTGAACCAGCAGGCCTTTGTAGCACTTGGCCCACAGTGGAGAGGACGGCATTCCGCAAAGGAGAAGCCATGGGGCTGTTTTCTTCAGCTGTGAAATATTCCCTGTTATGTACTTTATATGCAGCGGTGGGATTGTTGCGTAAAACAGCATTCAAGAAATATCCCATTCATATTTTAATATTTTACCAATGTTTGGCCAAAATATTCCACTATTTTCCCCCCCCCCCCCCCCCTACAGGTTTTGATCTAGGATTTTGCTTAAAGGAACCCAGGTTGAAATCATTGTTCAGCTCTTTTCTAAAAAAGTTCCTTTGACAAGCCAGAGTAGGAACAAATTTGGAAGAGTGCTAAGGAAACTGTACATTTCATAGGGAGGAGAGCAGTTTAGTACAGAAACGAATGCAGTTTTTCATCCCTTTATGGTGATTTTTGTTAGACGTAATCTAAGCTGGCTACCAAAACTGTTGCTACGCAGTTCTCTCTGTGCACGTAGGCTTCGTGTATCGTTTGCAGCAAACTTATTTGCTGTTGTGTTCTGATGTCATCTATTGTTCTATGTGGCAGGGGAGGAGCTTTAGTGAGTCAACTGCTCACTTCTTCAGAATCTGCTCACGAAAGCTCCTACCCTGCCACAAATTTTGTTAGTCTTTAAGGTGCTACTGGACTCTTGCTCTTTTCTCCTGCTACAGACAAACACGGCCACCCATCCTGGTATATTGTTCTGATACTGTATTTTTTACATTCCCACCCCCAGAAATATGTCGTTGTTCCTTTTGATGCAGGACTATATGCAGAACGTTCATGGGAAAGAAATTGATCTTCTAAGGACCACAGTTAAAGTCCCTGGGAAAAGGCCACCCCGAGCCACATCAGCATGCGCGCCCATTTCTAGTCCCAAAACAAATGGCTTGTCCAAAGATATGAGCAGCTTGCATCTCTCACCAAATTCAGGTAAGATATTTAAAACCTGCTTCCACCGTATTCAGTGTCGTCTCCAGTTGCATTTTTCATTTTAAAAGATTGAATTAAAAGATCACCTGTCAGCATGCTTGTGAAATCGTGGCTTTATCTTCTAATGCAGGGGTCTCCAACCTGGTTGAACCTTTGAGCACTTTAAATTCTGAGAACACTGAGTGGGTGCCTTGCTGTAATGACAGCCGTAAGTGGCGTAGCCGTTGGGGCCTGGGGCCATTCACAAAGCACTAGGACAGGAGTGTCAAACTCATTTGTTATGAGGGTCGGATTTGACATAAATAAGACCTTGTTGGGCCGGGCCATGTGTGTCGTAAAATGTAATGCCAGGTAACGGAGATATAAACTTTATAAAGGACACAGACACAAGGGGTTTATTTTTACTTAAAATAAAAACATGCTTAAAATATCAGCACGCTTGCAGTATTTTGTTTATTTAACAGTGTCTGATAACTGACACCTCTTGGTCTAAATTATTGCATCAAAATTTCTGTGCCGTTGCAATCTTGAGTATGCCGTTCAGGTGTGTATCTGTAAGCTGCAAACCTATGATGACGCAGCAGCAGCAGAACTGGAAGAAGAAGCAGAAGACAGCCAGTTCCACTGCGGGCCTGAGAGAAGTCCTTCGGGGGCCTGACCCCCTCGGACCACATGTTTGAAACCCCTGCACTAGGAGGTTCCAAGACAAGTGTCCTACTGGGATGGAGACAACCCTATCCCAAATGGATGCTTCTTGCCTCCTGGGCAGATCTGGAAATCTCCTACAATGAGGTGGAAGAAAGCCAGTCCTGGCGCTTTGTTTTAGGGAAGAAAGAAGCACATCGGTGGGCTTCCCACTGAGGACTGCTGTTCCAAATAAAGAATGATAATGTTACCAACTGAAGTTCTTCTAAAAGGAGCTTCATCAAAAAAAATTCTTTGCCCTATTGCTCACCGGTGATGAGGGTTTCCTGGGAGGTAATCAGCTGAACAACATTGTTTACAAGTTGAAACTAACCAAGCTTGCTTAATATTGTATTGGCAATGGCCTCCATTCATGACTATTAATTTTATGAAACGATGGATCTATAGAAATGGGAGGTTTTGCATGGGGGGGGGGAATGTTCTTCCCCACATCTCTTCTTCTTGTGGAGTCACCAAACCTGTGCCTGAGTTGAAGCATTTCAGACGGAAGGTGGGAGCTCAAAACTTTTTCATGCTCCTGAGGCCAAAACAAGCCATCTTTCTGACAATCCCTTTTTCTGGAAGCAAAAGGGATTGTCGGAAAGATGGCTTGTTAGCATGGTGCCCCCCCCCCCATGCCAGCTTTCTGTGAGTAGAGATCTACTTTGTATTGGCGGGTCGTTGAGTTCTGGGCCCCACCAGGACCCAGGTTTGCAACTCCAGTGAAGCCTTTTTGTAGCAACCCCCCACCCCTTCAGCACACATGAGCTATCAGACCTGCAGTATGTGCCAAAGTCCTTGCTTAGGTGAAACTGAAAACAGAAGGGTTCAGAAGGCAGGGAGGAGGCCAGGATCTGGTGGAGGATGTGCATTTGTAAGTGAACAGCAAGGAGTGAAGGAGCCAATGGGGGAAAATTAAATCTGTATTTATCAAAGTGTAAGGCACTCAGCTGGATGACCTTGGGCAAGCCATAGTTCTGACAAGAGCTGCCCTTGAATCCATCTACACCAGGAAGGTCAAAAATGTACTTTTCGGTTTGGGTGAGAAGTGGGGATATAGATAGCCAATGCAGTACAGCAGCTAGAGTACTGGACTAGTAGCCAGAAGATCTGCAATGAAACCTCTGCTCACCCAATGAAGCACACTTGGTTACCTTGAGCCAGTTACTCAGCCTAAGCTACCTCAGCAGAGGTAGTTGTAAAGATAAATTTGGGAAAGGGGAGAATAGTGTGTGCTGAGCATCATCAAGAAACAACAGGATAAAAAACAGGAAAGGTTGAGGCTCTGGAACAGGGGTGAGAAGTTTCTCATTCCACTGGCTTTGTCCACAGCCTATTGTGTATCATACCAAGAACAACCTGTATGTCATCTTGCCAGTTTGGTGTAGTGGTTAAGTGTGTGGACTCTAATCTGGGAGAACCAGGTTTGATTTCACACCCCTCCCCTTGCAGCTGCTGGATGACCTTGGGCAAGCCATAGTTCTGACAAGAGCTGCCCTTGAAAGGGGAGTTCTCGAAAGGGCTCTCTCAGCCCCATCTACCTCACATGGTGTCTGTTCTGGGGAGGGGGAGGGAAAGGAGTTTGTAAGCCGCTCTGAGACTCCAAGTGAAAGGCGTGGTATAAATCCAATTTCCTCCTCCTCCTCTTCTTCTTTTTCTTCTTCATCTTTATGAATATTATTTTCAAAAAAGAGAAGGTGGGTAGAAATGGTTATCCTTAGATGTTAGGCATTGCATTGATCTCTCTTATTTTGAAATAATAGCCACAAATGCTCATAAGATAAACTTTTTTGTACTTCAGGTTAGAATGTAACTTACATCTTAGGACCTTGCCAAATATGCCCTGCTTCTGCTCTCCCCTTCTTCAACATCTCTGGTGCCCCCTCATATTGAAATCTGAAGTGGCATTGTTGAACACAGCTACATGCCCCTTTAAAGAGCTTACCTTTAAAACTAATGTGGGGTGATAATAGTTTCTGCTTACAGAATATTCGATCTTGTGCTCTCTCTGTAGATAAGGACCTCTGCATCTTTCATAGTGATAAGGTATTGCTGCATACTGACTTGGCGCTTAACGCTAAGATAAATTCCTCCTTCCACAAGACGGCCAAAATAATTCTGCCCTCCTTCCCTCTTAATCCCAGACACTTCCAGGAAAGGAACGGCATTGGCTAGATGTGAGAAGAGTCTGAGTTTTTATATGGGTGGGACAGAACCTTTAGGAAAACAGATTCTATGTTTGTTTCCTTTAGAAGGGTGCCTTTGGGAACTGTGGTCTCCATATCCACCCCAGGTAAGTGGATTTGGGGTTGCATTGTCTTGGCTTATTCATCAAGGGGGGGTTAACACCCTTTCACGGACAGCCACTCTGGCTTTGTATCAGGCCCTTCCTTTCTTAGAAGTAGTGTGTTAAGGTAGCAACCTGGAAGTTAATACTAGGGATGGGCACAGACCTGAACCTGAGCCGAAGTCCGGGATGGATTTTGCCTGGTTCAGAATTTGCGGACCGAGGTTCAGGGAAGGGGCCTTCCCCTGAACACTCACCGAGGTTTTCTGCTCAGTTCTGCTCACGTGTTTGGCACGCCACTTTTGGGTGGTGTCAGGTGCTACCCACGTCATCCAGAAGTGACACAAGTACGTCGCTGATGTCCTCACGTCACTTCCAGGTAAGGCGGGTGCATTGGTTGTGGTGTCCAACCCCACCTGGAAGTGACGCAAGCGTGTCAGGGGCTGATGTGCTTGCATCACTTCTGGATGAAGCAGGTGCGCTACGACCCGATGCCACACGAACCGGTTCAGTTTGGGTGATTTTTTTGCTCAGGGGTTTGATTCGGGGTTCAATTAGGGGCCGTCCAGTTCGCAAGCCCCATCCCTAGTTGGTACCTACCTTTACACATCACTGTGGTATTGACAGGTGGGCAACAGCAGATGCTTCAGCCACAGAGTCTTTCAGCAGGCACTTGTGACCAAGGCTTGCTAGGCCTCAAAAGATTTACGTATTGAACTCTTGACAGACTCACTTCAGCCTTCAGCTTGGTGAACTATGCCTGCATTTTTGAAGAATTAAAACCTGCCCAGGCAGAGAGTTCTATGGCTTTGGTCTGCATGCAGTTTTGAGGGTATTTTTTTAACATCTTAGATTCATGAGAAATTACTAAGCATAGAGAAGTGCTGAAGCCTTATCCTGGAGTTCTGGAGGATTTGAGGATTTTATTCTAATCCTGTGGCCTATGAACTCAGGTACAGAGATCTGAGAATAGTTTTTCCTTTGGGGAAAAAGAAGGGCCTAGAGAGACGGCTACTTTTATTTATGGTTTGTGGTTTTACCTTCCTCCTAAGGGGGAGGATTTATAAGCCTTTGTGGACTATAAATGTCTTTTGCTAATACTTCTGAGGGCTCGTGATCCTGAGTAGAGTTTGTTGTGAATTACATGTTCTGAAGTATGGAACCCCTAAGATCCGGAGGCTGGAAACATAGACCTCAAATAAGTAGACTGTAATTAATTTTATGATGGCTACTCTTCAGGCAAGTACAAATTGACAGTCATATGCAGTTTGAGTAGGATTATAATATAGAATTAAAACTGCAGATTGTGGGTTCGAGTCCTATCTGGGTCACCAATTCTGTCACAGATGTCCCTTTTGGCGAAGTTAGACAGCCCAGGATCTAGGAAGCCACCAAACTGTCAAGTTACCTTTTCCACCAGCCTATAGCCCACCAGAACAGGGGAGAATCCATTAATAGGATCCAAAGTATTTCATCCTTTTTGTGGTTTTTATTATAAAGGCATACATACACAAATACACACAAGGGTAGCAGGTTTAAGAAACAAGCATGGATAGAAAATACAACAGACTCTTCGACATTATTTGAGGCTCTCTGCCTCCCTCTTCCAATTGTTATGTCTTCTGAAGTGGAAAAACAAGTTGGAGCCACAAGGCCAGTTTTCACAAAATGTGTATATGCGAGAAAGATATCTGTTCTTTGGAAATTCAGGGATAGTTCATCAAGCTAAAGCTTGAAGTGACTCTGTCAGAGTTAGGGTTGCCAAGTCTCCGCAGGGGGTGGGGAAACCCCCTCTCAAGAGGCCCATTCCCCGCCGATGGGGATTGGGCCGGCGGGGGGACCCCACCCTCAAAGTGCCTGATGTGCCCAGCGTGAACATATCACCCGGAGGTGACGCAATCGCGTTGGGCACGTTGCGGGGAGACGCTCTATAAGCCGAGGGAAAACTCTATGTTTTCCCCTCAGATGATTGTGGCCCTGCTCCCAACGTGCACAATGCGATTGTGTCACTTCCTGGGTGCATGACGCA